AAACAAGGATGTGGGCAATCGAACTCGGATATCTAGTGGAGTCTCTTCTGTTTGTGTACCTCGGAGTTCAGGTAGGGGCGAACATATCACACAAGAAATATTGGCAACCCATTATTGAAAGATTTCAGTCTATGTTATCGGACTGGAAAGCTAGACCTTTATCTTTTGGTGGAAGCGTGACATTGATCAAAGTGGTTCTTGGTAGTTTGCCGGCCTGTGATTTCTCATTATTCAAAGCACCTGCATGTGTTATTGAGGAATTAGAGACGCTGAGAAGAAATTTCTTATGGGGAAGTTCAGTTGTTGGGAGGAAGATCAATTGGATAGCTTGGGATAAGGTTTTATCACCAAAAAAAGAAGGTGATCTCTGTCACACCCCAAAACCGGAACGGCGGAAACGTTATGGGGTGGAGGACATCATGTTTAGTATCACAAGACATGTATCATAGTAAGCAAAGTAATGAACAACCGTTTCATTAGAAAGAAAGTGTTTACAAAGGGTGTGTTCACAAAACATGTTGGATATAGTGTCTAAGTCCATAACTATATTTGGTATGTACTTGACCCGACCCGGCATGGTCCATTTGGGTTGCACTTCACCCGAACAATTTATGGATAATCGTTTGAGAATAGTATAAGTTATGATTTATTAATATATTATAAGTCCTAATATATTAATATAAAATCATATTATTTAATTAGTATTGATCTATAATTAATCTAGAATTAATTTAGAGATCAAAAGTATGACTAATTAAATATGGGCTCTTGTATTTATATAGTGTGGGCTAATGCTTATTTGGAATGGGCTAGGCTTGCATGGAAAGTCCATGGATACTCCATGGAGCTTTAACCCATGGATCTCATGGAAATGAAAAGACATGGGTATTAGGGTTTACATGAATGTAACCCTAATCCACCACACTATATAAAGGAGGCTTTGGTTCTTGAAATCACACGAGTTGTGGCGAGTAAAAGTAAGAGGGCCGATTTCAAGAAAGGTGATTACTATTCTCTCAAAATTCCAAGTTTGTGGTGATTTGTGATTTCCATTTGAGGCATCCACACTATTGGTGCTAGGCTCTAAAACTCCAAGCAATCAACTACAACTACAAGGTAAGTAATTCTACTAGCTTTATTTGATTCAAGTTCCCCATGCCATGCTAGATAGGATAAGAACCTTGGAAAAATAATTATTTGCATGTATCTTAGTCAAACATAGATCCAAGGTTTCTAGGGTTGCATGTACACCATAGGAGTGTTAGAATGTGCAAAACCCATCAAAACATAGAATACATAAGCAAATAACAAACAAGACTTGAAGCTATACTGCTCCATCTTCTGAATCCCAGTGCGAGTACCTGTCTACTAGGCTCCTGAGAATACAAGTTATTTGAAGGAGTTGATCAGCAATTAAGCTGGTGAGTTCATAAGATTTTAGTGATGTAAGTAAGTTGTAAAATGTTGTTGGAAAATGTAGTTGTAACATGTAGTAAGTTGTAAGTTTTGTTTAGAAAAGTTCGCCTGTTCCTCCAGGAAATTCTATATTTCCTGCCTTGAAGAAAGATAAGTAAAATGACTCTACACTCCTTTCTATGTGTACTAAATGGATACAAGTTACATAAAACTCAGAGTAAACAAACAATCGATTGTGTGTATCAGCCCTAAGCCCACAACCAAACAAGGAACAGGGAATGAGGCAGATGACACACATCCCATTGGTTGTTAGATCCTTATTGTATATAACCCTGGTGTATCCTCTTGGTACTCACGGAGTTAATTGTAATAGTTCCTTTGTATTTGAATGAAAAGATTCTTTAAGAAAACCCTTATTTCTTATAATAACATGGTGACCACAGTGATTACTTCTATAATCACTAAGTTTATACAGGCATATATGATCTAATATCGGATAGAGAGTTAATTGGGTGAATCTGCCCTAAGCCCACAACCAAACAAGGAACAGGAAGTAAGGCGGAAAGCACACATCCAACTATATATTGGGTATTAATGATATATAACCGAACTGTATAAACTAAAATATTATAGAGTTAGTCACCTAAGGTCCTTTGAGTTTATACTGGTTTAATAAAATGGATTAAACCCTTAACTGGTAAGTTTCTAGTTTTGTAAACCAAACATTCTGATTTGGAAAGTATGTTTTGTACTAGAAAGCTGTGCATTAACTCTGTGTCCTACGACTTGACCCATACCTGGTACCCTTATGATGACACAATGTATACTGGACATATATATCTAGAATCGAATAGATAATAGACTGGGTGAATCTGCTCCAAGCCCACAACCAAACAAGGAACAGGAAATGAAGCGGAGAACACTATTACCTGTCGGATCCTATTGATATATATGTATCCTTTTATGTATACATTAAAGCATCATAAGATTAGCATTATGGTCCTTTCTATTAAACGTAGCCTTCTACTAAGACTTCAACTGTTATGTATGTTTGTTTCTTCTATGGGTGTGTATTTTCCCGAGTGAGACTCTCATTAACTAATTATAGTTTATACATTAACAAATGTATGAGAAGATCTCAAAGTAAATGTAATAGGGAAAATAATGTTTTACCCCAGCAGTGACACTGCTGGCTAAAAGTGATAAAAATACAGACTCCATGTAGTATTAAATGTACAATACACCTCGGGGAGTCTGTTTGCCCTTAATCCTTAATTGGTTAATTAAAGGTCTGAATGTGAACTCATATGTAACCATGCTGATCGACGGCTGAATAACTGATGACCCTCTGGTGTCATATGTAGTGTGGTAACATTCTGTCACCCCTTGGCCTTATCGGCTGGGACTGTAGCTAGCAGTCGGGGTGTAGGAGTGTCTGTCCCGTATAGATCTATACATACAATGCCCGCTCTCCCTCCAGGAAACTCTGGTTACAAAGTGATACCACAATGAAGTGTTGTATCGAGAAGTAGTATGTCACATTCTAGTTATAGTATTCAAATGTTGTATAGTATGTTATAGTGTAGTAATGTTTTCTCTGTACTAGTGTATAGTATATCCTCTTGTATAGTGTATAGTGTGTATTGTTTCTCATAATAGTGTGTTCTGACTCGTGTATGAACTGACTCTAAACTATACCTATTATAGTTTACTAGTAATGTTTTCCTTGAACTGTTATTGAAAAGACTCTTTTATCTACTAAGTTATGCTTGCACTTTAAAACGGAGTTTTGATAAAACTATAAAGTAACATAACTTTAAAAGAGTTTTTGAAATGTTTTGACAACTTATAAATGACATAAGTAATCCTTTTGAAATGTTCCACACTTGTTAAAACAGAGTCCTGATTCAACGAATATAAATGAGGCACGAATGTAACTGACGATAACATATAATGGTGACATTATAGTGTTTAGAAGCAACCAAATGCAAGGAAACACCTTACGGGACTAGGAAACACTTTGTCTAAGTGTTGGAATCACATGTGATTCAATTTAAGGGAGTGTACGACCACTTGAGGGAGTGTGCGGCCATGGGTGTGCGGCCAGGGAGTGTGCGGCCGCACACTCATGGTAAAGAGTGCACAAAACGTTTTCCAGATGGTAGGGAGGCTCATAGGACTGATGCCCATCAAGTGTTGAAGCTAGAAAGGCACTTTGGAGGCCCTTAAGCACTACACAAAGGGGTGTACGGCCACATGGAGTGTGTGCGGCCGCACACACCATATGTTCTTGAGTTCTGGGCAGTTTCAAGGACTTAAACTAGTGTTCTAAACAAGATTCAAGTGTAGGGAAGAAGTGCTTACTATCCGGAAGCTAGAGAAGGCCCAAAATCGCCAAGAACAAGTGTGTGTTCTTGGTGTTCTTGGTGAAATGGATGAAGATTTGAAGATCTAGTCAAAACATGATTTCCAATGGATGAAATCAAAGAGTGTTAATAGTTTGGAAGGATTAACAACAAATCAAGTGAAGAACACTTACATTCTTGAAGATCTAGGCTGAAAATTGGATGATAATTGAGAGAGAAATCGAGTTCTAAGCCTTGGAGAGTGAAAAGGAATGAATGAAGGCTAAACCCCTCCTTTGTACACGTGAGTGTGCTGCCAGAAGAGGGGTGTGCGGCCGCACACCCATGTGTGCGGCCGTACACTCCTTGTGTTGGAGTGTAAGGCCCAGTTTTGATGCTAGAAGTGTACGCGGTCCATTCCTATGCTTAATGCTTGAATGTACTGACCTTTGGGCCTTTAAATGGACTCTAAACGAGGGTAAATGATAGCAGAAATGAGTTTGACACTCAGTCGAGTTGACTGGCGGAGCTTTACCAGGCAAAATTTAAAATTTTTCGGGTTGTCACTGTCTCAGGATTGGGTCGCTCAAAGCGCAAAATCTGTCACTGTTATGTAAATGGCTTTGGAGATTACATATTGAACCAGGTTCTCTGTGGAGTTCGGTCATTTATGGGATCCATAATTTAGAATGAAAACCATGGCATAACTTCTCGAAAAAAACCTTATCACGTGTATGGCATAATAGTTCTAAAGTCTTTGAAGATCTTGCTATGATGAATATTTATGCTGATGATATCTTCCAACAACATGTCTTCTCGGGGAACAAAACATTGCTGTGGAAAGACAAGTGGTTCGCCCGCAACACACTTCAGGAACTGTTCCCAAATTTATATGCTTCAAAATCCCAGAATTCTTGCTTCATTTCTGAAAGGAGAGAGGACGGAGTCTTTAAATGGACCTGGAAATCAACACCAAATTCTGATTAGGCTAATCAAGAACTGGTCAACTTGAATTTGGTTTTATGTGGTTATAACTTTCTGCATGAACATGATAAATTCTGGTGTAAGCTTAACCCAGACGGTAAGTTCACAGCGGAAGCTTTGTGGAGACTTGTTGACTCAAAAATCACGATCACAGGAGGCGAAGCATTTATATGGCTTAAAATAGTCCCGATAAAGGTGTCCAACTTTGCTTGGAGGGCAAAGCAAGGGAGGATTCCGGTTGCAACTGCTCTGTCAATGAGAGGTGTTCAAACTGACTCACTGATCTGCAAGCTTTGTAATACAGGTGAAGAATTTGCAGACCATCTGCTTACGAGCTACTCATTTTCTTTAGAAGTCGTTAAAAGGATTCTTAACTGGTGCAGAATTCCTCAAGGGCAATTTACAAAGGTGGCAGAGTTGCTAGATTTTGGTACGCGATGGGGAAATTGCCCCAAAAAACGCAAAAGGCTATTAGCCATTCTATATGGGCTTATTTGGCGAATCTTGAAGGCTAGGAACAACAGAATCTACAACAACATAGTTCAATCCCCGCGATGTTAGTTGACAATGTCATCTTATTGGTTTTCTCTTGGCATAAATTAGGGGTCTCATAATTCATGTAAATGATTTGAGTGGTGTTGCTCTCCTTTCTTATGTTATAATATGTAAACTCTTGTTTGTCTTTCGTGCCGCTAGTTTCTTGCTAATCTCGTGGTTTTTTTATAATATTATTTGCCGTTTACCAAAAAAAAAAAAATAATAAAGAAAACTTCTCAAGAGTAATCAAGATTTAAAGGAGAAATACGGAGACTATGGAGATATACATACTTCCCCAATAGAATATAATAATATATTTACTAATTTAAGGAAAAGTTATTTTAAGATTCAAATGTATGGCAGGCATGCATATGGTTTTGTTTGTGTGAATTGTGATGAAATTGGTTAAATCTTCTGACTTCTGATCCTTTCTTTAATACTACAAGACTGATTATTATTATTTCTATTTCTCAATGGAAAACACATAAAAAAGGCACATAAATATATAGGTGATTTTGTTTTCGTTTTTCTATCAACCCTAAAATATTACATCTTCAAACCAAGTGATTCAATACTATCGAATTATACCTTGTATGTAATGCGATGATATATAGGAAGTACATGAATTATGTCTTGTATGTAATGCGATGGTAGATAGGAATAACATACAAAATCACTAAATCATGAGAATAATATATTATAAAATAGCAAAGTTATTTTAATACATAAAGCATTCAAACTTAATAATATTAATATATAACTAAATTTACCGTGTACAATAAAAACATTATAAAATTAAGAAATCATATACACATATAAAATATTATAAACATTGATTAAAAATGATAGAAAAATATAATTTTGGGCTGGTATATTGATTTTTTTATTTATTTTGGTTCAAGGACAAATGTCATATAAAAATTGAACACCTATGTTGTTAAGTTGAACGGCACATGGATCAAAATCGTCAAAAAAAACATCAATATAAGGACCACATTTGTAGACAAATATGTAATATCAGTAGGAACTAAAGACATAATTTTACTTAAATGATAAAATAATAAAAAAGCTTTTATATATTAATAAAAAATATTTATGTAACAAGTAATAACCCAATATAAGGACCACATTTATAAACAAATATGCAAATAAGTTTAACCTTCAACCTTGTTATATAGTAAAAAGAAAAATGGTTTAAATATTTTGAATATTAATGAACAATTATTAAAGTCATATTTCCATTACTAGTAATAAGTCAAATAACTCAGTAAAACGTCTGCAACTCTGCATACTATAATTACCTTCTTATTCTTGGAAAAGAGAATCCCGTTTATTCTCCCTTTCAAACCCGTTTTCCCTCATCATGCCTATAAGAAAGAACTAACCTCATTTGAAAACAAGCACACCTCTCTCATCTTCTTTCCAATATCTGTCTCATAAAGATATCACAAAACTTATTCCGATCATAGTTTTTTCTGATAGATATATGTTGCTTTTTTTGGAGATAGAAGAATAGGATAATGGGAAAGAAAGATAATGTTTGTTGGAGCTGTTGGAATATGTGCTTCGTAAGAAGAAATGAAACCATCAATGAATCTATTCATTTAAGGATATGTGGGTTGTGTTGTGGTGGTGTAATTTCTTTCGAGGCCACCTATTCCAACGTCTTCCCCAAACTATCTTCCCCTCCCTTCTTATCCTTTTATTTGGTGCTTGGTGAAAAGAAATGGTGATTATGGCGTTACTTAGTAGAGTTGTTTACACTTTTAAAACTTCTTAAGGAAATCTCAAGTATGGTTTCTAAAAATGAAGTTTATGGGAATGGGAACTGCATGTGGTCTATGGATTTCAATGATGTTTCTTTTCATTTTTTGGTTTTTATTTCTATGTTTGATCTATTTGATTTGTTTTGCTTATGTCTTTGGTTGTGCTTATGCTAGAAAAATTGTTGTATGGAAGAAGTGTTGGTGACTTTTTTTTTCAACTAACTGGATATTTTTTATTAAACGGCTTTTGGCTTTGTGGTATTATATTTGGTTTGATAATTTTTTGGTAAAGAACTCGTATTGACAAGTGGGTAAATAATACATCGATTGAGAGGGAATAAAAACACTCTAGAAACCAACTTATAATGTTATGTGATTAGGTTGTATAACATCTTAGTAATTTTACATTTTGTGCACATTAGTGGTTTTTTTTATATATTTATCATCATGATTAATATAAAAATATGGAAATGAAAATTATTTGGAAATTGATTTGTAAATTGTAGGTTTGATACTTTGATCTAGGTTTTCAATAAGTAACGAAAGTGCTTGTTTCGATTTGGTCTTGGATGCTTAAATGGACTTGTCTGTTTCCCTTTTCTCCTGGAAAACCGTTTGGAACTCCTGTCCAACTTGAAGATTGGATAAAAATAGGCTTAAACTGGAGTGATCTCAAATCTATACCTTCTTTTGGGCTATTTGTAAGGCTAGAAATGACTGTTTGTTCAAAAACATTCATAGCAACATGAATTCATCAACGGATGAGTTACAAGTTACTCTTTCAAGTGGTTAAAACATAGATTGAATTGTTTTTTTTTTAAACAAGTTTGATTGGTTTTGTGCTCTTAATTTTCATTATTGTATTTTGTAACGCTATAGTGCCTTGCTATTTTTCATCTTTAATGTTTTATGCTTTAGTTTAATTTAGTTGTTCAAATTGAAAACCTAATTAATCAATTAGTTGTTCACTTGATATTTTGTTGGTGAAATCAGGTTTAAATCTTTAATTGTGAATTTTTAAATATTTTATTTTGTTTGTAGTGTTTTATTGAATTTTTTTAAAAAGAAAATGATGCAGATCAAATAGCCTTAAATTACATGAAGAAAGTTGAACATCCAAAGAATTTTCACATCTTTTAAGTTGTTGCGTTGCTGCCTTTGTTGAGATAAAGTCTCAATTTATTGTTTTGGTATTTTTTAGTAGTTGTCTCAAACTTGAGGGACCTTGGTTGTTATTTCTTTAATTTGGTGTTTGAGTTTTGCTTTTAAAACTCTCGTTGACGTCTTTTGTTCAGAGAGACTTAATTTTCTTTTGGTGAATAAAATTAGGGGTTGGTTTTCCCTAATATTTGTGAGTTATCGGCATTCAATTGAATCAACGATAGTTCTTTTTTATTTATTCTTTCAATTAGCCACGTACGCTGCATCAGAGTGGTATCAGTTTCCAGCCTGATCCTGTGTTATGCCGCCTCGCAAACTAAGGAACGGTAACGCTGCGACGCCCATGTATGATGCTGATTTACGCAGGGTTAATGCAGATCTACGACGTTAGGTCGAACTTCTGACCCAACGACTTGATGCACTAAACCAGGAGCAAGACGATGACACTGTTACAGCAGAAAATCCTTGGTTTCATCGAAACCCTTCCCCTGAACATTGTGATCGTCATTGGGAACGTGGCTTCCGGGTGGATATTCCTGATTTCGATGGTGGTCTCAAAGGTGATGAGTTCGTTGACTTGTTATCGCAGGTTGAAGAAATTATGGACTTTAAAGAAGTCCCAGATGACCGTCGTGTCCCGTTAGTCACGACCCGTCTACGTGGCCGTGCGCAAGCTTGGTGGCATCAATTGAAACAGACTCGCATGCGTTCTGGTAAGGACAAGATTTCAAGTTGGGGGAAATTCAAGAAACATATCCGTGCTGCGTTTTTACCTTATAATTTTGAGCGAGAATTGTATCAACGATTTCAAAACCTCCGTCAGGGCCCTCGCTCAGTTGATGATTACACCACCGACTTTTACCAATTGCTCGCTCGTACTGACCTCAACGAATCACCAGTTCAATTGGTTTCTCGTTATATTGGCGGCTTACGTCTACAATTACAAGATACTTTGAACATGTTTGACCCGTTAACCATTGCAGAAGCACATCAACGTGCTTCTCAAGCAGAAAAACAGTTAGCAAGACGTGCAAATGTGAACTTTCGTCAACCTTCTAGTTCAACAGGTGCTACTGGTTCTTTCACTCCGCCTGGTCGAAAATATATTGAACAAGCCCCACCCCCACCAGTTCGAGGTCCTTGTGTGGTCCTTCATAAGGACGTCCACGAGGCGGTATGCGTTGCTTTAGTTGTGGTGAGTCTGGTCACCGACAAGCCGACTGCCGCAAAGCACCCGTTGCTACACATGGACTCTTTACCAATGACACTGTTGAGGTTGATCCGGATCATATTGATGATAAACCCATATATGATGATTACCCATGTGATGAGGATGTCCATGAGGAATATGTTGCAGGCGATACCGGTCCGCTCTTGATGTTACGACGTATTTTCCTCACCCCACGTACACCCGATCAAACAGAGTGGTTACGCCACAATTTACTCCAGTCAACTTGTACTATTGGTGGGAAAGTCTGGACCTTTATAATTGATGTAGATAGTTGTGAGAATGTGATTTCGGAGCTTGCGGTTTCAAAATTGGGGCTTACTTTGGAAACTCACCCCAAGCCGTATAAGCTTGCTTGGCTCAGTAAAGGTATTGATGTTACCGTTTCCAAACGTGTCATGGTGAGTTTTTCTATTGGTTCGACTTATAGTGATAATATCTTTTGTGATGTCGTACCGATGGATGCTTGTCATCTCCTACTGGGGTGCCCTTGGCAATATGACCGGTCTGTTATACATGACGGTCGTTCCAATACTTACTCGTTCATGTGTCGTGGCAAGAAAATTGTGTTAGTTCCGACTAAACCTCGTGTGGGTTCTTCGGTAAGTGTTGCTCCACCAACTACTCTGTTGTCTCGAGTTCCTTTTCAAGCAGCCATGGAAGCATTTGGTATAGTCTTTGTTTTATTTTGTGCCCTAGTGACTACGGCTAGCTCTGTTGTTCCAGCTCTAGAGATTCAGTCATTACTGCATGAATTTTCTGATGTATTTACTGAATTATTACCCTCGGTTTTACCACCATTGCGTGATATTCAACATCAAATTGATTTGGTGCCGGGTGCTCCACTACCAAACCGTCCCCATTATCGT